TTTACACTATCATGGTCACTTTCGCTTGCTGCTTTCACTCCTGTTGTCATCATGTTTACTCACTATGGTCTGACTGAATTGGATTAAACTGGATTTACTTTGCTGCAGGCAATGTCTTACTATTACCATTATTTTATTTATTTATTTTTGACTCTTTAGTGGAGCAAAACTGCAATCATCTAAAGAAATAAAAAAATATATATAATTACAAGAATAATGTAAAAAAAACAATTGTGGAGCCCCAAAAGGCCGGGGCAAGTGCAAATGGGACTCTAGTCTCGGTTTTCAGAAGACATCACAAATTTATGCAAATTAGGCTCCTGCCATGTTGGAGCCCATCCAAGGGCTCATATTTTATGCAAATGTAAGCCATTTCTATGAAGGACAACGTGTTCGCGTGCAATTATTTTATATTTTAATAGACAATTTCAAAGGCCAGAACCCAGAATCTCCAGAGGATATCCTGCAAAGGATACCGGTGCTTTCAAGCTATGCCAAGGGCCCTTAAAAAAGAAATATATTTGAAGAATAATCAAATGGTTTTTGGCTTTGTCGTGTCAGTTAATGGAAATCGTGGACATGTTTGTTGTAGTGGCCAAAGTGGAACATTCACAGAGCATAAGAGATCCTTTAGTGAATATTTGGATCATCACAGAGAAAGATGGAACCATTATCTCGGCACATTATTTAGATTGCAAAGCAGGACTAGGTGAAACCTGCTCCCATGTAACGAGTGCTCTGTTTTACATCGAAGCCATAACATGGATCCAAGGAAAGCTCACCTTTGCTCAAGTGAAATGCACGTGGGTTTTACCAACATATGTGAACAAAGTACCATATGCCAGAGCAAAGGATATTGACTTTTCGTCTGCCCAAAAGCTAAAAACAACATGGGATCAGAAAATTGTGTCATTACCTTCAAATGATGGGGAGAAAAAGAAAACAAATACCATAGAACAACACCGAGGACAACAATTTGGTTCGATTCCATGCTCAGATAGAGAAGTTGAGGAGGTCTACGCCAAACTGAATAATTGTCATAACAAAGCTGTGGTGTTAAGCTTGATTGATCCTTATGCTGATCAGTTTATTGATGAAAGCTGCACACTAAGGACTGTTTCAGAATTATTTCAGACTAAAACTCTTGATCTTCAGTACCTGGAGCTACTTAAATTGTGTACTAACATCACATTAAATATTTCTGAGAATGGCATAAACAAAGTGGAAATCAACTCATGAACCCAGGTGAAGGGTATACCATACTCTACTTACAAAACAATACTTACTTACAATGTGAGATACTTACACTACTAACAATACTATACTCTACTTACAATACAAAACTCGCAATACTAACTCACAGTGAGATACTTATTCTATTAACAATGAGATACTTACACTACTAACAGTGCTATACTTCACAGCTACTTGCATAACTTACAATACGGATTACATACGCTACAAAAACCAGAAAATAAAGGGGGTGGGGATGTATGGTAAATTTTAGTTAACTGTAGTTCTAACTCAAAGGAGAAAAAAGAGATTAAAGATATTTTCTCTCCTGATTCACTGAAATTTAGGTTTATATACTTTGAATGTTGAGGAAGGAAAGTGTAAAAAGAGCGAGAGACCCCAGTTGAAAGTTTCTCTTCTCTTGTTATTGTTTCCTATTCCCCTGACATTCATAGATGCAATTGTTAGTTCAGGCATTACTACAGTTAATTGTAAGGTATTGATTTAAACAGTGAACCAGCAAAGATGAGGTGTTACCTGTTTGATTTGCATCTTTTGAGCAGAAGGGGTATTTCGAATGCAAAACTGTTCGGGTTGATTTCCATAAACAAACATTTGTTGGACGAAGTTTCATAGAATCAAGATTAGAAGATTTTTCAGAGAAACCAATTATATAGCTGTAGGCCACTTTTTCCCCGACAAAAAAAATAAGAAAACATGCATGTAAATGTACACACCAAAAGAAATAAAAAAGATCACTGACTAAGTGTGGAATTTGTGTGGAAAACTAGCTTGCTTAGTTTCGAGAGTCGAGAAGGCAAGCAAAGTTTAAGAAAAGAGATGTATTCCGAACAGAAGTGTGTTTTGCGTCCCGTCCACCTATCATAATTTCGAGTAAAAACAAAAATCTTCAGGTGAAATAACGGACATAATTTGTTGAAGAAAAAATACTAAAAGTTAAAACTTAAATGTTTAAGACTTGTGTTATTAAACTCACAGTTCTAATGGCATTCCTTCCCGAGGTTATTCACTGCTTCTTCGGTGGCATCCAGCTTTTCAAGCTTCTTACGAATATCTTGCAGTGGTTTTTGAAGGTTTTCAGCCATATTCAGAGCAGATAGAATAATATCGTCACCTTCTTCGCGTTCGCCTTTGGAAGAGTTAGAACTATCACACTCTTTAAGTTTCTTTGGTTCTGGTGAGGTATGTAGAGAACTATCGGAGGATAGCTGTCTTGTTCTTCTTTTACTTAGCAATAACTTAAAAAATTTTTCCATTCCCGCATCCACGGCAAAAGAGTAGTGTTACGCAGACGGTCTTTCGACACGTCTTCACACTGCCATTGCTTCCCAGTCTCACTGCTTCTGAATTTGTAGGTTTAGGTTCTGTTAGTGACCAGGTTTATAGTGATGGACTTCAGGTTGTTGTTAATTTATCAGATAGGACATTAAGTGAGGCGGAGAATGCACTTCTCTCTAAGGGTTTATCGTTCTGCCCTACCCCAACCGAAATTGATGTATATACTCTGAGGAAGAATGTGTTAAACTACGTAGGAAGGAACCGTTTGAAAGAATATTTCTACAGTGACGAGGAAAGCGATGGGGATTTCTCCAAGATTCTGGCTTTTAGAAAAAAAAATCTAGCCAGTGTCTGGACAAGAATAGAGATCCCTTTCTTGAAGTGTACACGAGTGCGCTCGAGGAGAAAATCTTCCGGGAATCCAACCTAAAGGAGAAGTGCCACCAGAACCTCACCAAAGAAGAACAAAAAGCTCGCGAGGATTTAAGGAGTTATGATGACATCGTTATCAAGCAGGCAGATAAGGGATCAGCGGTGGTTGTTATGGATAAGGAACGGTACGTCACAGAGGCTACGAGACAATTGGGTGATAGTGCAGTATATGTCTCTTTGGAGATGGACCCCACCGGGTTTATGATCGAGAAGGTTAATGAGAGCTTGAACAAAGCATGTAGTGATGGACACATAAGTGACAGAACTTTGGAGTATTTACTTGTTAATGGCGGGACAAGAGTTGGATGGTTTTATCTTCTGCCTAAATTACATAAGAGAGGTTGCCCAGGTAGACCAGTTATCTCTGGATTTAATACGCTAATGGAAAAGATCTCGGCATTTGTTGATCACCACCTGAAACCGCTCATCGCAGCAGTACTATCTTATGTGTAGGATAGAATGACTTTTTTTTTTTTTTTTTTTTTTTACAAGGAAAGGAGGAGATATTTTATTTCTGAGTCATTGTCTACTCTTGGCTAGGTTTTATAAATATCTTTAGTTTTTTTTTTATTTATTGCAAGTAATACACACACAGAAAAGAAACAAAAATTACACAGAATAAATAAAGTAATAAAAAGAAAAAAAAAGTAACAAATAAAGTAACAAAAAAAAACAAATAGCGAATTTACACACTTACATGGCAATATACTTACAAATATTAAAATACGTTACAGCAATGGTAATTCCATATATTACTGTACTTAGTATAATCTATAATTAATTTTTACATTTTTTTTTTCTTTCTTTGTGGTGAAAGTAATATAAATACTCATAGTAGGTGCACTAATTTATGTTTTTGGAGTTAGGAGACAAGACCCAGCGAGGAAAAGAAAGGTTTCCATTTTTTGTATTGCGCGGTGTCTTATTTTCTAATTGGTATATATGTCTCAAATAAAACAAGAAATTGTTGTGAATTGGGAAACATTCTTTTGATCTGCATATCCAGATAAAGTTCTTAGCTATAAGACAACAGAAGTTTATATGAAGCTTAAAGGAAGAGCTGTCTGGCGTTAGGCCCAAAGCGGTAGTCATGTCTAAGTAACTGCCTGGTTGGAGGATCTGGCACGACTGAAGCCATATCGAGAAATTATCCCAAAAATTTTTGGTTTTTTGGCATTTCCAAAATAGATGGACCAAATCTTCTTTCTCGTCATGGCAAAAAGTACATTTTCCGTCCTCTTTAACTCCTATTTTTTGCAGATAGCTGTTAGTTGGTAAACGTCTGTGTAAAAATCTGAAATTAAAATCAATTAGTTTTGAGCTCGTTGTACAAGTGTTTGCTGCTTGAAAAACGTTTCTCCAGTCAGCATTTTTATCGGTTGAAGAGTGGATGTCTTTATGCCATTTGTCTATACAAGATGTGGGTTTTTCACTTTTATTTGCTATTAGTTGCTTGTAAGCAATTCTAGATGATTTTTGGCCTTTGAGAAATGTGTTAAGAGGACTTTCATACTGCTGATGTGTTCTCGGGATTTGTCGTTGTAAAGATTTCACGGCTGAGACGATTCCAAAAAACATTAATGGTTTTACTCAAATGTTATATCTGTTCTGAAAATGGTCGAGGGAAAAAAAGTTGAGAGAATTCTCGTCCATTAGATGTTTAACTTTTGTTATACCCTTGTTAAGCCAATTATTGCAGAAAACTGGTGCGTTATTTATTCTTATTAATGAATTTTGTAACAGAGGTAGAGATAGAAAATGATCTTTTGATACTATTTTCCTCTCGAAGAAAGTGTCAGACCAAATTTCTACAATTTCTTTGATAAAAGGGTCTTCTATCTTTAGCTTATCAATATCCTTTCTGTTAAGATTTCCTAATTCCAAAAAAAGACTTCCCCCGTATTTTCCCAGCGCCAGATTAAAGAAGTTTTTCCATTTGCCACGGTTTCCTGAATCTAGATACTTTTTAATCCGCGTAGCCTTGAGAGATTTGTTAAAAGAGGCAATATCAATCATTTTTAGTCCTCCTTCAGGGTAGTCATTGATCATGATCGAGCGTTTCATTTTATCCTTTTTGCCGTTCCATAAGAAATTGACAAAAAGCTTGTTGATCTCTTTTATTGCTTGGTGGAAAAAAATTTGCAAAGTTTGCAAAGGTGTGAGTATATAGAGCAATTGGGATGCTACAAGGCTTTTTAGTACTGTTATTTTCCCTATTAAGCTAAGTCTTCTAAATTTCCAGCATCCCAGGATAGTTTGGATTTTTGCCAATTTCTCGTTGTAATTGAGAGAGAGTGTTAACTGTTGATCTGTAGACAGCCACACGCCTAGTGCTTTGACCTTTCCCTTTTGCCATTTAAAATTTTTTTCCGGACAGAGTTTCAGGTTGCAGTTTCTTTTAGAACCTATCCACAAGGCCTCTGTTTTCTCATTATTCAGCCTTAGGCCAAATATGTTCCCAAATGCTTCTATCAGTAACAGTGACGCTCTTACTGATTCTTCAGTTCCATCTAAAATGAGTGTCGTGTCATCCGCATATTGACTTACTTTAACTTCGGTATTATAGATTTTGATGCCCTTTATTTCTTGCTTATTGCGAATAGCTTCAGCGAGTATTTCTACGGACAGTATGAAGAGGTAAGGCGATAGGGGGCAGCCTTGTCTAACACCTCTACTTAACTCAAAGAAATTGCTTGCCCATCCATTGTTTAGTATACAGCTTTCGGTATTGCAGTAAAATAGTTCAACCCAGTTTAACAGTGAGGGGCCAAACCCAAAGTGCCGTAACGTTTGGTTTATGAATGACCACTCTAACGTGTCAAAAGCTTTTTCAAAATCGAGGAAAAGAAGTAGACCGCGTAAACCTTTGTTTTCTGCATACTTAATAGCACTATCTAATGTGCGTATATTGTCACTGATACATCTGTTTTTAATAAAGCCTGACTGATCTTCTGATGTAAGTTCCGGTAGAACTGTTTTGATTCGATTTGCAATAGCCTTTGATGCAATCTTATAATCGCAGTTTAATAGTGTCAATGGGCGCCAGTTTTTAATCAGGTTGGGATCTGCATCCTTCTTCGGTATAAGCTTGACAGTTCCTCGCCTTTGTGATACAGCGAGTTTTCCTGTTTGGTAAGAAAAGTTTAGGGCCTCTGTTAGTGTTTCGTCTACATCTTTCCAAAAAACTTTATAAAATTCACACCGCAGGCCATCAGTACCAGGTGTTTTTTCCGTGGCCATACCGTTTAATGCTTCCAAACACTCTTTAGAAGTTAAAAGACCCTCACAATGCTGTTTTCTTTCTTCACTTAATACTTCTCGTGCAGGTGGAAAGAAAACTTCCGGGTAATCGTTAACTTGTACTTTTGAACTGTAGAGATTTTTATAAAAGGTCTCGCACTTGTGTAAGATTTCCCTGTCGGATTGGATTAAGTCTTTGTCATTAACTTTCAGTTGGATAATTGTTCCTTGTTTGCAGTGTCTCTTCTCTAAGTTTAGAAAGTATTTAGTGTTTTTTTCGGCCTCATTGTACCATCGCGATTTAGATCTTAGAATAGCCCCTTTTGTCTGGTATTCGATTATGGTTTCAAGTTCCCGTCTTTTCTTTTCTAACTCTGACCATACATTTTGGCAGTCAGTGGCATCAATGTTGGCGGTCTGCTCCTCCAGGATTTTGATTGTCTTTTCTTTATCATCTTGTTTTTGAAACATTTTTCTCTTATTTATTCTGCCAAACTCAACTGATGTCTCTCTAATTTTCATTTTTATCATTTCCCACAGTAAGTTTGGATCGACAGTATTATCCAGTGCATATTCATCTTTAGTTTGAGTTATAATGGATTGTATTTTCTTTATATATTCTTCGTCCTTTAGGAATGAGGTATTTAGTTTCCAGAAGCCCCGACCTCTCATGTTATTATGCGTCGAAATTTGCAACGTGACCAATGAATGATCTGTCTTATAACCAGGGACTATATCTGTGTTGATTGAGTTGCAAGATGTGCATTGACTTATGAGAAAAAAGTCAAGTCTGCATTGTATTTCGGGGTTTGTCGTTGTTCAGGGTTTTGTATTCTCCAGACATCAATAAGGTCTAAGTCTTCGGAATAGCTATTTATGACTTCCAACGATTTTTTGTGGGTTTTTGCAAGGCCACCTTTTTTACCTTTCTCAACATCCAAAACTAAATTATAGTCCCCGCCAATTATTACCTCATCGCACTTAAAATCTGCTAGCCGCTCAAAGACCGAGGTAAAAAAGGTTGGGTCGTCGTTGTTTGGAGCATATATATTTGTCAAGGTTAAGTGTTTCCCATTTGTAATCAAGTCACAGATTATATAGCGTCCCCCACGGTCGCAGTATGTTCGCGAAATTTGAAAGGTGAAAGTGTTGTTAAATAATATGATAACGCCTGCCTTTTTGCTAGAGCAGCAACTGAAAAGGGCCTGATAACCCCATTCAGCTCGCCAGTCATGCATATTATTTTCGGTACAATGAGCTTCTTGAATAAAATATATGGCCATTTGTTTTTTCCTCAGCCAATTAAAGAATTCCCGTCGCTTGCTTCTGTCTCCTAATCCCCTAGCATTAATTGAACCAATTGTAAGTTCCATTTCTTTTGTTGCTGTGAAGAAAGAAGAAACTGATAATTTTCACCCAAAGAAGAATAGCATGAGAGATTATTCTGATTTGTGCAAATGAGATATAGAGTGTCGGTTTCGTACAGAAAGGTCTAAAAAAAAGATATTTCAAAGCACTGAAAGTAAAACAAAACAGAAAAAAATCGAAAAAAAACAAAGACAAGGTTAAAATGTTTTCTTGCTGGGTGGTCGCTTTGCATCTCTAAGGGGTGACTAGCCGCAAGGAAAAAAAAAATATTAAGTTTGTCCCCGTAATACAATTATGAAACAGTCTCAGGATTAATGATCAGTTTTTTTCCTACAGGCCACACTCAACCTCTAATAAATAACTTATCTGGTTCCGATAGACTGAAGAATGCAGGAATGTTGTTTCTTCTGGCCTGTTGGAAGGTCTTCATCTGCTCTTTGCGTCTTCTGACAATTTCTGCAGGATAGTCGCGGAACATTTGGAAATCGGTTTCTTTTAATCGGTGCCCGAGTGAAAATATTTTCTGGACATCCTTGTATCTCAGAAAACGAGCCAGTATTGGCTGAGGCTTTCCATTCTTGCTTTTTCCACTTCGATGAACTCTTTGGATTTCCACGCTTCTTGCGTTGTGGAAGCCCAGTTCGCGTTCTAAGAAATCTCTTAGGGTTTCTTCGACATCTTCGGGTTCATCGGAGGAGCCATCTTTTATGTTCATAAACCTGATGTTCTCTCTTCTGGAGTAAGCTTCTAGGTAGAGATTTTTTGCTGTAAGTTCGTTTAATAACTCTTTACTCGCCTCTGCCTTTTGTGTTAAATCAGTGATTGCAGCTTGGTGATTTTTTAGCTCAGTCGAAATTTCAGATAACTGTGAGCTCGTGAAATTTCTATTTTCTTTAAGATCGTTAATGTCTTTCTCCGTAGTTTGTCTGAAATTTTCCAATACTGCTGTACGCTCTTCTAGGCAGTTGAGCTTTGTCTCGATGCTTTTTTAAACGCTCAAGGATTTCTTCAAGCTTTTTTGCCATGTTTGCTGTCATATCTAGCGTGGTTAGGATTGTGTCTTCTTCGGCTATTTCTCTGTCGGTCGAGATGGATTTTCTAGATTTTTTGTTGTCAGGTGAAGAGGTTGAGTCGTCTGAACTGGTAGATATCCTGTTTCTCCTTTTTCCTAGTAGTTCAGATATGAATTCGGCCATTTGCCGTTACGGAGACCTCGGATATCAGAAGAAATTGCGGACAGCCCCAATAAGCGTCTTTACGCCGCCATTGCTCGTCCCAGTCAATCAGGATAGAATGACTTTCTGAAGAAGCTCCGTGACATCAGTACACTCCCTAGCGGAGCGATAATGGTGACCATTGATGTGGTGGGATTATATCCCCACATACCCCATGATGAGGGACTACAATCTATCAGGGAGGCTCTCAACAATCGAGAGAACCCGGAGATACCGACAGAGACAGTTGTAGACCTGGCAGAGTTAGTGCTTAGGAATAATAACTTTGAATTTAATGAAAACCATTAACTTCAGACTTTGGGGACGGGTATTGCTAGAAAATGGCACCGTCTTATGCAAATTTGTTTATGGATAGACTGGAGAGAAGGCTGTTATCCCAGGCACAAGTAAAACCTTACATCTGGTTACGATACATCGATGATGTTTTCATGGTGTGGACAGGGACCGAGCTTGAGCTGGTGGAGTTGTTAAATTGTATCAATGAAGCCCGTGACACAATTAACTTCACTTTGGGACTGGTCTAGAGAGAGGATTAAGGTATCAGCCACCCTTCAGCACCGTCCGCAAGCGGATCGCTGTAGCATTAGTTGTTTCTATAAAAACCCCTATAAACCATATATTTTATAAAAGCTTAATAATTCCAGATTATGGATTTGAACTAACAAAAAAGATTTACTTAAATGTGTCTCGAAATTGGAACGCTTTGTGTAAAAGTACACATCTCTATAAATCATGTTCCGCTCCCGCCAGAAATAAATGGAAGAAAACAATTAACACCACATTCGCTTCTCAACACGTTTCACTAAAAAACTGTCCCAGATTTTTGACAGGTGCGTTTGTTTTTCTTTTATTAGCAAATGAAGCTGGGGAAGGTAATTAGTCAACACTCCCTGTGGAAAAAAGGCTGTAGCTTTAAAATGAAAAGGAATATTAAAATTCGCAGACATGGTTTTGTAGAAGAGATATGTGGCATCACTCTGGTCAAATTTTAGCCAAATTGAGTGAAAGGCTGCCGACTTGGAGTTCAAAATGTACGAGTCCATCGGCAAAATTTGCGTTCGGAGATAAAATAGAAAATACATTTTTGGCGGCATCCTACCTGGAATGAGATTATAACACCTAAATGTTTATTCTGATTGATATCAATTTTCTCTAACAGTAGGACTTTGACAGGTAACATGTAACTGGAACAAACTTTTGCGGCAAGCAGCGGGAAATAATTATTTTGCTTCCAGTCAGTTCAATTACCATATTTATTCGAATAAGCACCCAACCTCGAATTAGCGCCCACTTCAAATGAGCACCCATCCTAAAGGCAGAAAAAGTTAATAAGCGCCCAGCCTCAAATAAGCACCCACCTCGAATAAGCGCCCACCCTCAAGGTCCAAAAATTTAATAAGCGCCCAGGGCGGTTAATCGAGTAAATACGGTACACCGAGTGTGGACAAAGGACAAAATTTTCCTGTGTCAACAGAAATTGCGGCTACCACAGCATCTGAAGCTGACCATCCTCGTGCACTCCACAAGGCATCAATCGTCACCCCAATGTCCACAACACTTCCTTCAAAATCTTCAAGTGAACAGTTTAATTCTCTGTTGGAAAACTTCCACTCTTTTACACAACGAGAAGCACGGTTTAATTCTTTCTCGAGCAAAAGTTTTGCCTCTCCTTCGATCTTTTTTGTATCATCCACCCAGGCGTTTTTGTTGATCGGCGCCTGGCCAAGGAAACTAAAAAACTTTGAAGCCGCCGAATGTCCACCACCGATTGCTCGAAGGCCAAGAACTGAGGCCCAGTTTATTTCAAACGCTCTACTCTTCTTGGAAGAATTAAAATAGAATTTGTCTTGTGCGACGGACAGCTTTCATTCTCACACTGGATTCTCCAGGTAGAACCAAGTCCATGCTTAGTCGTACATTTTTTCCACGACTTGAACTCTTCCCTGGCAAAATCGACAAGATACAGACTCATCCAGTTTGTCAAGCAGCTTTTCGCTCGATACAATAGCTCGACCGCTTATTGTTTTCCACGTCCTATCAGCAGATGGGGTCAATGAGCTTAATTGGCTTTCTTCATCTGGCTCTTTAAGCTGGATTTTGGAGCGGGTTGCACTCTCAGCAACCGCAGCATTTTCGCTTTTCTGAATATCCAACTCCTCGAGCCACTTCTCTTGCTGATAAAATGAGCCTTTGTCGCTCTCAGCCAATTTTGCGGCCCATTCTTTGTCAAACTCGCTCTTAGATTTCTTTTTCGCTCTCGGTTTCGATGACGAAAATGGACACAACCTTTTCTTTTCTTGGCAGCATTTTCACCGAAGCAAACGCTAAATATCCACAGAGAATACTAAAGGCTATAAACAACGCGAAGACAATTCGCATGTGTTGTGTCAAAGCAGGCACTCGGTATGACACGGGTATGACAGATCTTGCCAACGATCAATTAAGATAATTAATGAGAAAAAATCTTTTACCCCCGATATCTTTCGACAGAAATAATATTTTCTGATTTTTTTTTTGAAGAAAACTCTCAAGCATATCTATTTGAAAACGTTGAAACCTCAAATATGAAAAAATGGCAATTTTAAGGGTGGCTGATACCTTAATTACCTGGATGTTCAGGTAAAAAATAATGGAAGAATAGAGAGTGATTTGTACATAAAGCCGACGGATAAACACCAGTATCTGTACCACACTTCGTGTCATCCCCGGATGTGTAAGGAAAGCATACCATATGACCAGGCTTTGAGACTTCGAAGAATATGTTCTAGGCTGGATTGGTTTATTTACAGGGCTGCTGATCTATGCAGGTTTTTTGTAGCCAGGGGATATAAAAAAGCATTTTTTTTGAAGCAAATTAGGAGAGCAAGGTTGAAAACCAGAGAGGAAACATTGGCACCACACCCTAGGAATGCTGCAAACAGAGTGCCAATGGTGTTGACATACCATCCAAGTCTTCCTAACATTGGTAGCATCCTACGAGAACTTCAACCACTCTTGCATTGCTCAGAAAAATGCAGGAAAGCCATCAAAGACGTACCCTTCATAGCATTTCGAAGATCTAAGAGCCTGGGGGACTACCTAGTACACGCTAAACTTAGGCTGTCAACGCGTCTGGAGCGGAGCTCGAAGGGAACAGTGATGTGTGGTAACAGACGATGCCAGGTCTGTAAGTACCTGGAACAGGGAGAAAGGTTTACCTCTTACAGAACTGGAAAGAGCTATACAATTAACTACGAACTGGACTGTAATATTAGTAATGTTGTCTACTTGTCCTGTAAGGTTTGTCATGCGCAGTACATTGGGTCAACAACATCAAAATTTAGGCTTAGGTTTAGCAATCATAAGGCCCGTTTTAGAGCACATTCAAGGCTTTCTTTTGAGGTTAAAAACAAGGATGATCTTTTATATAGACATTTTTCTGGCCGGGGACACTTTGGTCTTGAGGATGTCATTATACAGTTAATTGACAGAGTGTCCGGAAAAAATCAGCTCTCCGGGATAAAGAAGGCCAGTGGGCCTATAGGTTGAACTATATTCAGCCTCAGGGCTTGAATATAAGTGATTTTTTTTTACAGCCAGAATAGGGCGACTAGGTCTCGCGTCCGGTAAAGAGCACACGTGTGTTTATATTCCTTTGTTAGTCTGGGAGCATATGTCAAGAAATTTTTGAAGGGATTTTTGTGAAAAAAGCAAGCCACCTATCTAGATATGTTAAGGGGACTCTAAGAAACTTAAAAAATGTTGTCGGCAATTTTGTAACTTGCACCGATGGTCTCAAGGGTGGACTGAAAATGTGACGCTTGTTTTCTAACATGGAAATGCGGCTGGGACTTAAAGTACTTGAAAATTTCAACAGATTACTATCAGAATTATTCATATAACACATCATGATGTAGCCTGACTTGAAAACGTATCTGGTAAGCAATTAAACTGATCACGTGACCATTATAGCACGGAAACGAGGCTGGATGTTAAAATGCTACACAACTTATTTGGAAGCTAGTGGAAACAAATTGCGAGCACATTATAAGATGATGATATGACCAATTTACAAGGAACCAAACCCGGAGCTGCCATGACCCGACCCTATAGCGATAATCACACGCTGAAGAGTCACCTGTTGATATTAATTGCCAACCAGAAGTGCATTGGTTCTTGCAATGAAAGATTCTTTTTTTTCCCTCGTTCAGTACAAATTTGTATAATGTTTGTAAACATGCAGTATGTCTCTTTTGGAAGGAAAATGGACACAGATGTTTTACTTGGACATTAACCTAACGTATTTAAGACTTTGTGACAATGAAGCTAAGTAGAAACTGGGTTTCTTTCAAGGTGAATGGGTCCGAGTAATGACATGACTACAACCTGCAGCATTGCAGTTCCCTGCTAGTTAAGCCGGGCTGCGCTAAAGAGATTGATCTCAGTCTCGGAAGGCAGTAAGTAAATGCAGCGATCTTTGCAGCTAACTTGATGGTGGGGATGAGCTTTGTGATAACATTGCTGACAGCGATAAAGAAAACTCTGACAATGCTGATGATTCTGATGATGATGTTGATGACGATGACTTCGAGGAGAAGGGTGATGACTAGAACATCTTGATCTTTTCGTGAATGTCTAGCCCTGGTAGTCACTGGAACGCATCTTGTTTTCAGGCTTCTGTAATAGCTTGGCCAGTTCCACATAACCTGAAAGGCACTTCAATAGGTGTTTTATTTTTCCTCTATTGACCACTTGCTATTAGTGGTTGCCAAACGGAATTTTAAGCTCAAGCCTCGTTTCCATGCTATCATAGTCACGTGACTAGTTTAACTGCTTAACAGATACATTGTAAAGTCACATACACTCTTATGTATTATATGAGTAATAATGGTAGTAATCTGGCAATCTTTTCTGGTTCTTTAAGGTGAAGCCTCGTTTGCATGGTATTATGGTCACGTGACCGGATTAACTGCTTGACAGATACGTTTTCAAGTCAGATACACTATTATGTGTTACAGGAGTAATTCTGATAACAATCTGTTGTCATTAAAGATAGTTTTCAGGTACTTTAAGGTCCAGCCTCGTTTCCATGCCAGAATTCAGACGTCACATTTTCAATGCACCCTTGTGGTCATCGGTGCAAGTTACAAAATTGCCGACATTTTTTATCTCCCTTAGAGTCCCCTTAACACATCTAGATAGGTGGCTTGCTTTTTTCACAAAATTTCCCATGGGATTACAGATGCTCCCAGACTATGTAGCACGAGCAAGTCTTCAAATTTGTTTGTTATCATGTAATAATGGTGTGTGATGCTTATAACGGCCATTCACCCCGATGAAGGCCGTTTAACAGGGTCGAAATTTAGGTGACAGACGAAAAACATTGTTTTACTCTTCACTTGTGGTACTGTATTTATTGAGTTGTGAAGGGAGTGTCTTCTAAAAGATGCTTGTGATAGGATATATATATTTATGTCACCCACACAATAATATGTAGTTATGTACAAAGTTTAAAGTAGGGTCGAGGTGGTTGATTTTGTGACCTGATAATGTTCGTCGACATGTACAGGTGATTCTCTTGACCTTTGCTACTTACTATATAATAGGCAAAAGGTACAGTCATGTAAAGTAACGATCACAAGATAATCAGGAGATCTCAGGGACCACTTGTATCCCTGGAACACGTTCAGTAAAATTACTATAGTCCTCTTTCCGTACATTTACTCAACATGTGCAGTAATTTTACTCTCCACGTTTTCAGTAAAATTACACAATCGTATGATCGTCTTTCTGGAGGAGTTATAAGGTGAACAACTTCACTTCCACTCACAATTTGCAAGCTCAATCTTGGGACGTTCAAGAAATCAAGCCTACGGCAAAGTTAAGTACTTTCCTTTTACTTCTGTCCCCCTGCCCTTTTTCTATGCCATGGAACAAAATGTTAAAGTTTTGATAATGGGACATTCCCTTGTGAAACGTTTTCATTATTTCCTAAAGCAGCGCCGTGACAAAGGGACACTAGCTAATTTGAATTTGTCATCTATAGAAATCTGTTTTTCTGGGATTCGGGGAAGAACTGTCGCTAAACCTCGTTCCTTTGATTTAGGGCGCGTCAGAGCCTTTCAGCCTCATGTAGTTATTTTAGAGATAGGTTCTAATGACCTTTGTGAGGCCGGGCAACGCCCAGAAACTATTGGCTTAAACATTGAGGACTTTGTCCGCATGTTACACGGGCAGTTTAATGTGAAGTTTGTGGTAGTTTGCCAAATTCTTAATAGAGCGACAGCCCCTTCGCAACATCTCGACTTCAATTTGGGTGTTCAGGTCTTGAACAATTACCTTTAAGTTGTCTTGGAGCCCCTGTCTTACGCCGAGTTTTGGAACCACAAAGGCCTCCGAAGACCAAGCATCCCCATGTTACGCGGGATGGCGTTCATTTAAACGACCGGGGCAATTATGCTTTATATCGTGGTTACAGAGGGGCGATTTTGTTTGCATTAAAGAAACTGTTTTCCCCAGCTCAGAGGGTATGACTGGTTCGAACACGTCAGATCGCACAGGCATTCACCTTTCTTTGTTTTTGTATACTATTTTGAGTTTATATTGACATGTTTTAAGGTATATATACCTTATTTCCGGCATTTTTGGCATGTTCATTGCGTCATCTCATTTTACTGGGTTTGCCAAACATGTTGCCGATTTGTTGTTTGTCTGATTAACCACATTTATCTCTGTTTAAGTGAATGACCTGGCGATCAACTTTCTTGGTCCGCTATCCCATTCCACCCTCTTTGCCTATGTTTGCTAGCTCCTTTATTTCGCATTTGTAACATTCGTTAATCAGGGCCAGTTTCTTAGTCGTTCGAAAGGTTTTGTCTGTTACTTATAGTGCACTACTCGGTTCCGCCAGAATGATGACACGTGGAAAACAACGCCTGAGTAAAGGAACAAGCGCTACACAAGGCAAAGCCACCAGCGTTGGTGCTAAAAGGCCTAGTTCCACCCGTTCTGTCCCTTCTGTGGCATGCAAGCGTTCACGACGAGTCCCTCCAAACAACGGCCCTGTCCAAACACCCCATCTTGCAGACGCTACGCATCCAGCTGAACTCGAAAGGCAACCCCTCACGGGTAATTCCACCACTGCAGTGGATCGTCAAGAACTAACGACCTCATTGAACCCGTCGTCGGTCTCCATTCCGGATCTGACAAAGGCAGTGTCAGCCGCTGTGATAAAAAGTTTATCTGAGGCAGGCGTTATCCCGTCGGCGAACACTGTCCCAACCACAGAGCAGAATGCTGATCCAGCTGCTGCTGTACAGGAGTCAGTGGCAGCTGTTGTTCAGGATTTAACTGCTGAGGGCCATAATTTTCAATCAAATAATGATTCTGTAATTTCGGGCAGTCGCGATGCTAACAGTCGGCCTGGTACTATTCACAAGTTGATTTCCATTCCCTTAGCGAGTAGGGTATCCGAAAAACTGCAATCTAAAATCTGGGCAAACGAATATGTCGATTTAGGTAACCTTTTCGCAACGTTGCCCGGGGACCCCAAATACAATTTTAACAATAAAAAATTTACCTGGGTCTTCAACGCCAACTGTTAGTCCCGAGCCTGTGCAAAACACAAAGCGCATACCTACAATCGATCAGTGGACCTCTGCTTTTCAAATTTTTGTTGCTATTTATTGTTGCTATTGTGCAAAACACAAAGCGCATAGCTACAATCGATCAGTGGACCTCTGCTTTTCAAATTTTTGTTGCTATTTACACAGTGCGTTTTCCAGAAACGGCACCGGCCTTGATGAAGTATAGTGCGACGGTGCGTGATTTAGCGGCTAAAAATGCGCATTGGCGCTATTACGATGAGAATTTCCGCTATTTGCGGCAAAAATCCCTTTTTCCCTGGGATGAAATACACTGGGAATTGTGGTTGCAGGCGCACCACATGATGCGTAGTTCATTTCCAGCTTCTCCAGGAAACAACGCTAATAAACAATCGTCTCAGCCCTTTCCAAAAGGATTTTGCTAGAAATTTCATCAAGGCGAAAAATGTTTTGGCTGTAACTTCAAACATGAATTTTTCAAATGTGGGGCAACCCATTCGACTTTTCGATGTCGTGGGACCAAACCCTCCGCCGCTACATCACGCCCCGCCTCGGCACATGCCGCTACCAACACCAATCAAGTAAATAAAGTAAATTAGAGTTTTATTTAGACGGTTATCCACCGGCGTCGAAGCGCTATCTACTAGATGGTTTCTTAAGAGGGTTTTCTCTTGATTACGTCGGATATCACGAGATGTCCTTCTGCAATAATTTGCTGTTAGCAATTCGAAATCCTTCAGCTGTCAATGAAAAACTTTCCAAGGAATTAAAATTAGGTAGAATAGCTGGACCTTTTTCTGAAAAGCCTCTTTCTTCATTACGTTTATCGCCGTTAGGTTTAATCCCTAAGAAAGCGCCAGGGGAATTTCGCTTAATTCATCACTTATCTTTTCCTTATGGCACATCTGTCAATTCTCATATTCTCATATTCCTACGGAAGCATCTTCAGTTCGCTACACATCAATCGACGATGCTATTAGGATTATTAGGCGCACAGGCAGGGGCTGTGCGCTTGCAAAGACAGATGTCAAAAATGCTTTTCGACTGATCCCGGTTAACCCAAATGATTACGACCTGCTTGGTATTTTTTGGCAAGATCACTTTTATTATGATAAGTGCTTGCCCATGGGCTGTTCCAGCTCGTGTAAGATTTTTGAGGCTTTTAGCTCCGCGTTAGAATGGATTGCACATTACAAATTGTCAACTCCGGGTATTTTACATATCTTAGACGATTTTCTCATCATTGAGTGTGATACAGTTACATGTTCGACAAAACTTTTATCGTTTTTAAAAACTTGTGACGATTTAGGGGTTCCCATGGCGCCTGAAAAGACCGTTGGTCCAAGTACAGTTCTTTCTTTTGTGGGTATCGAACTTGATACTTGCAAATTGGAAGCGAGGCTTCCTCAGGATAAGATAGACAAATGTACTAACACGATACAAGATTTCCTAAAGCGCAAGAAAGTCACTCTAAAAGACATGCAATCTCTAATAGGGTTGTTAAATTTTACCTGCTCAGTAGTTGTGCCTGGAAGAACATTTCTCCGACGAATGATTAACCTTACAGTAGGCATCAGGCGACCAATGCGTATGATTCGCTTAACGAGGGCAGTAAAAGGCGATCTTCACTTGTGGTTGCAATTCCTTACACAGTTCAATGGCAAATCATTCGTTTTAGACTTCGTTTGGCTTTCATCCGATATGATACACCTATACACTGATGCTTCAGGCTCATTAGGCTATGACGCGGTTTTTGGTAGGAACTGGTTATATGGCGCTTGGCCCAAGCGTTGGAGCTCGCTTAATATAGTCATACTTGAAATGTTTCCGATTGTAATTAGTGTTGAAATATGGGCTAATAGGCTGGCCAATAAGTGTGTCACATTCCATACAGATAACCAAGCGCTTGTAGAGGTTATCAATTAAAAAAACCACAAAAGATAAAAAACTGTTGGTTTTAGTCCGCTCCTTGGTTTTGTCATGTTTGAAGCATAACATACTTTTTAAGGCAGTTCATCTGCCCGGTCTTTGTAACACAAGCGCTGACGCATTATCGTGTTTACAGGTAGACAAATTTAAGTCCCTCGACCAGTATGCAGCAGCCGAACCGACAATTGTTCCTCCACATCTGCTACCAGAAAACTGGCCGATATAACTAAAACACTTTTAGAGGCTAGCATCAGTAGCGCTTCAGTTAAAGCTTACAAAAGGCCCTGGGCGCTATTTACATCTTGGGCCCAGCAATTTTTAGGTGACATGCTTATTACGCTACCCATTCAACCAGCTATTTTAGCTTTCTTTATTGCTCATTTGTACTCTTCGAAATACGCAGCGTCGTCCGTTACGACTTATGTTTCTGCCATTAGTTACGTACATCAATTAGCTGCAGTGGATGATCCCACCGAAGCAGCCATTATAAATCAGCTCCTTAAGGGCTATAGGAAGTTAGCTCCCACTAGAGATATTCGTTTACCGATTACGTTACCAATCCTAAACAAGCTATTAGGATCGTTTCAACACACAGTCTCATCAGCAGATCAAATACATTTGCTCTCAGCTATGTGTGCCATTGCATTTTTTGCATTTCTGCGAATAGGAGAAATAACAACAACTTCCGGTGAGAGCACTAATCTCATTAGAATAACTCAGTTAGATCGCTTAGTGGATAAGAAGGGAAACGTCGAAGCCCTTCAGCTTACTCTTATTAACTACAAACATAGTGACCTGGGACAGAATTTTGTTGTTTACATTCATCCTGAGTCCTTGTGCTGTCCTGTCCAGTTGCTTTTGCAATATGTTTCACTTAGAGGTTATGCTCCGGGTCCCCTGTTTTGCTGGCCCGATGGGACGCCTATCACTAGGACATTTTTTGTCACGCAGCTTAAAGCTGCCCTTAAGTTTAACAACCTTGACTGTGCTCTTTACAAAGCTCATAGTTTCCGTATTGGAGCCGCTAGTTGGGCTACCGCTAAAGGTTTTTCTGACTCTCAAATTCGTTTACTAGGTCGCTGGAAATCAAACGCCTTTCTCAAATATATCAGAACGCCTAGTTTAGGTATGAATTTTACTGGGCCTGGGTAGCAATGGCGTAAGACGTGTCCTTGATCCGTCCGCCACATACTCTTTTTTTCCCGGGTGGTAAATGGAAGAACTGTTGAAAAAGATCTTGGAACGGAAAAGAAGCGAGCGTTCCTCTTCAGAGGAGTCGAGCACTTCACCAGAAGCAAAAAAAGCGAGGAGTGATGAAGTAAACTCTCCTGAAGAAGTCGAGGAGCACGAGGTTGAAGATGAAATCTTTACGGTTTTGAACATGGCCGAAGGCTTTCATAAAACTTTGGAGGAAATAAATCGAAAGCTGGAAAAGCTAGACGCTATCCAAACAACAGTAAATGATGTCCAAACGTCCCTTCAAAAATTGGAAGGAAGAATACAGAAGCTGGAATATTCGCAAACAACCGCCAGCCACGACATTGAGAACTTGAAAGAAAGCTTAAATAAAGCTGAGAAGCAACAGCAGAATTCGACAGCGAGCCTAAAATTTTACCAGGAGAAAACAGATCTCGCTTTAACCGATTTGCAGAAGAAAAATGATGATTTAGAAGCTAAGCTTAAAGAGGTACAAAACAAGAATCTCTATTTGGAAGCCTACTCGAGGCGGGAAAATATGATTTTTGAAAATATTGTGCAAGAAACAGACAAAGAAGACACTGAATTAGTTGTTCGCACCTTCCTCGAGACGGAATTAGGATACAAAGATGCAAGCACCGTTGAAATACAGAGGGTTCATCGCTTAGGAAAGAAGAAGGAAGAAAAGCCCAGGCAAATTATCACAAGGTTCCTCCGCTATAATAACTGTGAAGAAATTCTAACTTTGGGCTCCCGTTTGCGAGGAAGCAGATTTAAAATGTATCAAGATCTACCCTACGAAATAGTAGCAAGAAGAAGAAAGCAAATGGACACTTTTAAAGAAGCTAGGAAAAATAACATCCCTGCATCTTTCTACAGATTAAAAAGAACTTCTCTGTTGTACATAGATTGCAACGTTTTGTAAGGTTAATGTAAGATTTTGCTTTGGCGAGTATTTCCACGTGATATCGAATTCCTTATTTGCCTCCTTTAGCTGCCACAGGTGCTTGCTCAGCTCAGTCTCATTCCTTCTCTTTTCAAGTCTAAATGACATCAGGTGGTTTCTGTATCTTCCCTTGAACTGAGTAGCTGTGAGACCGATGTATGTCTCTTTTTTGTCTCCGGTTGTGACCGTGGCTTGGTAAACGACTTCACTCACCAGGCATTCTCCGTTTAGCGGGCAGTCTTCTTTTTTCCTACAGCTACACATGTTCCCTTCGCTTTTCTGTGGCTGAGCTGTTTCTGCCATCTTCAGGATGGCTTTGTTGTGGCCGTCTATTATTTGCTTGATGTTGGGCATGCAGCTGTAGCTGAGCTTTATAGTGTTCCTGTTGAAAATTTTCCTCAGTTTGTGGCCTGCTGGAAAAGATCTATCAATGAGGCTGATGAACGCATGTGCGATGTTGGTTTTGACGCTTTTGTTATATGGTGGATTAATATGGCGTTATATCCCCGCCAAAATTCAACCTTTTGTTTGCAACATTGTTGCTTTGAATTAATGCTCGTTTTTACAATCCAATATTCAATGTCTATAATTCAACATCAACATCCATATTTCAAATTCAGTGTGCTTCGTTTACATGCGACATTCGTCTGTGTGTGTGCGATATGCTTGCATCACAATCCAACGTTCTTGTTTTCCGTATTCACACACCAACATCCATATTTTAAATTCACCTTCCGTTCGTTTAAGTGCGACATTGATGCCTTTCATTGCTATGTTGATGTTCGGTGTGTGTGTTGCGGTGCAGAGTGCGATATGCTTGCAGCACAATGCAATATTCTTGTTGGACATTGAACTTCACGCTTGAGTGAGCTGACCTTCAGATGGTACGCCGCTGTACAAAACATGTGGGCTCAAGAGTGGTCGGGGTTTGCATGTCAAGATGGCGGCGTTCAGAAGAGCGTACGACATCATCCAGCAGACGATTGAAAGTCTAGACAATCCAGCTATTACCTCGTTCGAAATTGATGGAATATCTAACTTGTACACTAGTGAACCTTGATAGTAACTGTGCACCAACAGATGGAATTGTTCAACTTTTGGGGGAGACCAGCAGTTATCTGCATGTTATGGATGTACAGTCGACTGCTTGTGCCATTGAGTTTGCCCCAAAAATATTTTTTGGAGGTCGTGGACGTCCATCGTTCGAAATCAAAGAGGAACAGTTGTCTTTTCTTATCGACCAGGGCTTCCAGGTCCCCGTTATTGCCAAGTTGTTTAGGGTATCGCCACGAACGATTGAAAGAAGAATGGCAAATTATGGCCTGTCGATTTCAGGTAGACTATTTTAAAACCACTTTATACTTTAGTTTTTATTTCCAGTATGTGCATGAATGCTCATTAAATATCAGTTTATCAGTTATTAATAAGATTACATGACATGGTTCAAATTTGGTTTTGTTTCAATTTTTATTTTCCTTTGTTTTGACGTGGATACTTCCTGGCGACGGATATAGTTTACTCGCTCTACAAATACAGTCTAATAACAGATGTTTTAGATAAACAATTAAGAATAAAAAATAGCGATAATAGTTTAGAATGACGTTTAGATGACTCGCTCATCATTTTCAAATTCATATAACTAAAGTCAGGTTCTTGTAAGTTCATTATATAATAAATTGTATGTGAAAGTCTTGTTGCATGTGATTAAAAAGAAATATAATGTGGAGTGTAGAGGGTGTTAATTAGGTAAATAGTTTTGCTTTGATTGAGCCAGATTGAGTGTTCAGTTTAGGTTTCTTGTTCTTTATGAAAAGCATTTTATAAATTAAGCATTCCAGCTAAGAGTGGGAAGCTGTCAAAAAAAGAAAAAAAAAGGTGTACAGACCAAAAACAACAACTTTTTTCCGAGATTGAGTTTTGTTGTCTTTAACATAACATAACATAAAACCTTTCTTTCAATACGATGAGAATTAAGTAATGCTTCACATAAGAACGATAGCAAACTTCATTGTTCTGTGGCATTGGCTCTTTCCCACAT